AACTCGACTTATCGAGTGCTTAAAAAAGAAAGATTTCTTCCAACTAGTAAGTTAATCTATGTGATTTCGGACAAGTCTAAAGAATTTTGAAGATCTTGCTATGATTCTCTGAAAGCCAAAGTTAAGATGAAAGCTTAATTTTTTATTATAATTACATGTCTTGCCATTATCCCTTTTCAACTCTCTCGTTACTTGACGGAATTGAAAAACAAATTTTTCCCTTTTTGCTTAATAGTTAGGGAGAAAGAGGAAAATAGATCAAGATTTGAGATGAATTAAAATTAATAGGCCAATAGTTTACATAAATTAATAAATATGCCAAATTACTGTTTTCGTCCATAACTTATATGGTTTTGAACCATAACTTGACAAGTTATTGTTCATAAATTATCTGGTTATGAACCATAACTTGACAAGTTTGTCCATAACTTATCTAGTTATAAACTATAACTTGACAAGTTTGTCCATAACTTATCTGGTTATAAACCATAACTTGACAAGTTTATCTATAACTTATCTGGTTATAAACCATAACTTGACAAATTATGACCTATTAATTTCTATAACTAAAAATTAGTCTATATATTTTTTTAAGCTATTCAAATTGGCATATTTCCTACTATTTCTGTAATAGTTAATACCCAAAAATTTCAAACGGTCATGGATGACCAAGTTTGAAAGTCCCTTATGAATTCTCGAAATAATACTCCTTAAACTGAACGTTGAGTGGAACTTAAAAAAAAAAAATTTAAGTGTAAACCCAACCCATTGTTTTCCTGAGGAGAACTATTATTTCTTAAACAAACAACAACAAAAACAAAAAGAAAAGGAGAAACACAAACCAACAAAAAAAAAGTGCATAGAAAATATACTTACAATAGTACTATATATATGAGATCTCAAAAGAAGATGAAAGTCGCATAAATTTATGAGATGACAGAGAAAAAGAAAGGGAAGGTAATCAAAGAAATATCATAGCCTTCCTAATCCAGCAGCTCGGTGAATCTTTTGTGAAACGTTCTCTAATTCAAAGCATTTTTTCTGTTTGCATTATTTTTTATCATTTACCTCATTCCGCCGTCTTTTGATTGTCAGCATACTTTCTGGGTTCTTTCTTTTTGATCACTTTCTTTAGTCGAAGAGATTGAAGGGAAGAGCAAGAGTAGTTTGAAGAAGAGACAATAGCATCCTGTGTAATTAAAAGAAAAAGACAGCTTATTTTTTAACGTTGATTTTTGGATAGTTTTGTGAAAAGCAAAATAGCTACGTATTAATTAGAGAAGATCAGCGTTTGATAAAGAGGTTGTCTTAGCGACTGACTCTAACACTGCTCATACACACACACACACACACACATATATATATATATATATATGCTTGATTTTCTTTTCAAGACTTGATGACCATGGGCCGCAAATGTTGACGAGGCCATGTTGGATCCATCATTATATAAGTCAAAGATTTATTTATTTTCAATCAATTCATTTTACATGAAGCTTGAGTTTCACCAAGCAACGACATTAGAGTTTCACCAAAAAAACCAAAAAACAAAAAAAGGCACAGATATGTAGAGTGTATTCCGGTTAATGTATTTGAACTTCAAGAACTTGTGACCAAACTTCAAGAATTTTTCATCTTGGAAGTTGCCGTGACTATAGTAATATGTTGGTAAATAAACATCTTCTGTCACTCCAACACATAGCTAAATAAACCCAAACATCCGTCATGCCAAAAAAAAAAAGAAAATTCAAACGTCCTTCACAGCAGAAAAAATCCAAACATCCCGTAGCTATCCAGTTGTCAAACAAAGAAAGAAAAAACATGATGAAGAGTGAAGACGCTTGATTAAATGAAAAAAAGTACGTCATAATTCACACTCACATTTAAAGAAAAAAAAAGAAAATCTTTTAGTAGGGTAGAGAAAATATTTTTTTAAAATCATATAATTAATAGGATACTGTTGATTTCAAAAAAAATAATAGGATACTGTTTTATACAGTAAAAATTAAATAATTTTTAATTTAGATGCAATTTTAATTAAATTTAACATTCATAATACATACTATCATAATAAACTCTTAATTACAACTCTTTTCAACTTAATAAGAAAAAAATAAAAGAAAGCATCTTTCTACAATGCAAACTTTTATCGATACTGTGTATTTTTAATTGTTAGACTTAATTAAAATCACATCTGTAACACTCCAACGCTAAACCGGTATAAGGCAGAATTTAACGAGGTGATGCTACTTAAAACATACTTTCTATACTTAAAAATGTCATTTTTAAGATGTAAAAACTTGTGGTTGATTTCATCACAAGATTTTTGTAAAAGTTTTTGAACAAAATGAGTCAGTGCGCAAAATAATTACAACCACAAGTCTTAGACATTAAACAATTATTCAAAACCGACATAGTAACGAAAAAAAAAACATTTTGACTATTGTTTGGAAGTACATATAAGCAATATGCCAGATGTAGAACTTGGAGTACTCAGCCAACCTTGAAAATTATTTTTTACTCTTCGGTAACAACAACATCATTTGCATCACAAGGTAAAACTAATTAGCAAAAACTCAGTAAGTAGATTTCAAATAAAGTAAGTATCTAAAATCTCCGTGGTTAAAATATCTTTGTTAAACATTGTTTATAAACTTTCATACTTATTCTCAGTTTAGGTATGATACAGAACTTCAGTTCTAAGTAAGCCTCTCTCTATACAGGATATTTTCTAATTTTGGCCAATTCTTTTCTCTTAAACACTAAGCGGCGTTTTTAGAATCTCTTTCTCTTGTGATCAACAAGAGACTTCCCACTAGCATTTTTCTCTAATTGTCTCAAAGAGACAGTTACTCTAATTTGAGGCCCCGGTCCCTCGCACCCCTGCTTACCCAGCCTCTCATCCATATACCATACCATAAAATCTCTTAAAACATAAAAATATAATAAGCAAATATCATAATTTCTTTCAAAATAATTAATCATGAATACTCTTTGAACATAATCATATAAAAATTTCATAAGAGAATAAACTTGTATAATTACAATTCTGAACAAGTTATTTCACCAAATACGTCTTGTGATGCAGTTTTGAAAATGCTTTAACTCTACTTATTTGAATTTCGATCACTACTTTACAAGCACAAACTAGCTGGTTGTGGGGAGCCTTCAATGTGCTAATTAACCTTTAAAAACCATAGCTTTCAAAAATCACATTCATATCATCATTTAACAAAACACATAACTGCGCGTTGTTACGAAAATATTCATAACAAATTCATCAAAACTCAAAATATTATGAGACCAGTGGCAAATAATGCAGACTCAAAACCCTCTTTTTAGAGCTACTACATGATAGGTTTTAGATTTTTCAAACCAATCAAAAACAGCCCGAAATTCGGATTGAAGTATAATCTCGTCAAGAAAATGACAGTTTTTTAACTGAATTTATAAAATTCATAACTAAATGTAAAAAAAATCCGTTTAGAGTGATTCAAAGACTCACGTAAAGGTTGAGGTGTATAATTTCATAGAAAAATATAAGATCAGTCAAAATCATAAACATATATAGCACGAAAACATAATCTATATAAGTTATACAAAGGACTTATATTTGAACATTTCATCAAATACCTAACATGCCGATCTTAATCTTCAAAGACCACTCTCAAATATATGAATCATCATCCTAATAAGAGTTTATCTTCAAATAATCATCAATAATATAAGTAAAATAATTAATTTCACCCAGAAATTAATATTTGAACCAAAACCTCAAGAAACTCATTTTTAAGGGTCTACAACCAACATAGATGATAAGCCACATAAAAAATATGAATCTCAAGTAGGATTCAACATCTTAATCTCTGAGAGCTTAGTTTCTAACATAAGAAAGAAGTTACCTCAAAGAAAAACTTGTTCCCAAGTGAATAGAAGCTCAAAACCTTGATGGTTATTTTTGGTTCTAGGTTGCAAAACGAGTTGAAAATAGGCTGGTTGATTTTTTAGCTCTTTCTCTCTTGAAAACCTAGGTTTGATTCTGTTTGGGTGAGAAAAGGAGTGAGAAGAGAGAAAAAAATGTTATGGTCGGAGTTCTAGGCTTTTTTGTTGGAATAGACCTAAAAATGAAGTCTAAACTTCATAGAAACCAAGTAAAAGTAAAGTGACCTTATAGTAGGACAAGTATCTAAGTTTTTATAAGCCTCTAACAGCTGTTCTAACCTCATAAAATCAGCTCTAAAGTATCTATTTTTCTTCTTCAATTAGGTGCCTAAAGTTCACTCAATTTGCTAACATAGCCTTCTCTCACAAAAACTCAAAATAGCAACTAAGTCCTCAACACATTTACATAAAACTATAAATAACAATATAAAATAATAATTCATAATTAAATCAATCATAATAGAGGTAAAATATCATATCAAATAATCATAATAAATATTTTTTTTCATAAATTAGCACATTGAGTTCCCACATCGAGTTAGTTGCATTGCACATTAAAATTGAAAAATTAATTAGCAAAACTATAAGTTTAATAAAATCATATAATAGCTATAATAATAAAATATAATACCAACAAATAACTTTGAGATAAATAATAAATGTGGTGTAAGATTTTAATTTATTAAATTTATTTATTATTGGTTTAAGATTTAATTAAAGCTCAGATATTACATCATCAAATTAAAAAAATACGCTAAACAAATCATTTTTATTATAGATATGATAATTAAAAATAAAAATTCTCTCTAGTTTATTTTTCAAATCCTACCATTTTAATCTCCTAAAAGAAAATAAAAGGCAAAATAGATTCTCAAAGAAAAAATGAAAAAGAAAAATAGAAACAACCAATTCCAACCTTCTCCTCAGAAGAAGAAAAACCAGCCTATTACAACTTTCCACGTGGCCCAATCCCACTGGTGTGCTTTCTTGGAAAATCCCCACTTCCTACGTTTTCCTCTGTCTCGCTGTTTCATTCTCGCCCTATAAAAACTTCCCTAGTTTAATCAACACAACAACAAGAACAAAGGTGTTCTGTTCTCTTGACAATAATAGTATATACATATACACACACGCAGATATATAAAATATATTATCCAATCCATGAATCTGGAATTTCCATTTTCATGTGAGCTCCGCCGAATATCCAACGGTTTCCTTCGATACCCAACAAACCGAAATAGCATAAAACAGTTGTTCTTACGCACACAGCTGAATCTGGCCAAGATTTTGCATACCAAATCCTTTCTGTCTCCCTCTACAAAAATGCCGTCCCAACAAATTCTGCCCATAACCCATCACGACATTCGTAATCACCACCACTCTTCTTCTTCTTCGAGCGACGAAATGTGTTGCATCAAGATTGAAAACGACGACCCAATTCTGATTTCGCCGTCGTTTGAGGACGACAAGGCCATGCCGATCAGGCCCCTTCTTACCAGGGCGTCGAGTTATTCGAGCGCTACTACTACTACGACGACGGCGAACAAGTATTACCAGCAGAGACGACGGCGGATCGCCAGCGAGGACTCTTTGTTGCCTTTATCGGGCGGCGAACGACACCGATCTTTAGGCCGGGGTGTCGAACACGCCGCCGCGCAGACGTTCTTGCTTACACGATTGAGTTTGAAGCTTTTGAGATACCTTGGGTGAGCTTTTCTTTTTTTTTTTTTTTTGGGAATTACCCAGTTTGGCATTTTGATTAGTAATGTTAGTGAATTGCAAAAGCTGGTTTTTGTAATACCCATGTTGCCATATTGATTAATTTTACTAACGTCTTAGTAAGATATCTACTTGAAGAATTAGTGGAATGGTATGATATATATATCAATATTACAATGGTGGTGCTTGAAATTAGAAGTAGGCTTGTTTCTTATACTTAGTGAAATTTGGACTTAGAAAAATGTGATATTTGAGTTGGGCATGAATAGAGGGATAAAAGATATTGACAAGTATGGAAATTCGTATTTATTTATCCATTCTGATATCTTTTACATTCAGTGGAAAATGATAGAATAGAATGCTTTCAGAAGGTAAAGTTCTGCTTTGTGTTGTTTATGCTGATTATGATTTGTGCAATTTTAAATATGTGCCTTGTAATGTTTCTTCTTTAGAATTTATTCAAGTCTTTCACCATGATATACTTTTCTCACAGATTTTCTTGTGTTCAGTGTAGGCTACAAATGGATTACACGATTTCTTGCCCTTGGTTGTTATGCATTGTGTCTTGTGCCAGGTTTTTTTCAAGGTCTGTTCTCACATTTTTACCCTTTCTTTTTTTTTTTTAATTTAAATTTTGTGTACATGTACTTGATTTTGTGTTCTGCTTAGATATCATTCTTGTAGTATTCATCTAAGTAGGATTAAGAGAATCAATCCACATAATAATAAACAATAATCTGCTTGTTCTTTTCAGTTGGCTATTACTATTTCTTCTCCAGTCATATCCGCAGAGGTGTTGTTTATGGTGATAAGCCTAGAAATAGGTAGGATCTATGAACTTCGGTAATTTGCTTGTGCACTTTAATGTAATCGGTGGCAGCATGGCCCCTTGTGCCATGGGCGCTGGGTTTGCCTGGCAGCAAGGCACCATGTACCATGGGCGCTGAGTGCGCCTTGGCCCCTTGCACGCACTTAGATTTCCTTGATTTGTCGCATTGATAGTGAAATTTGTTCTGAAGGTTGGATCTGTATCTACCCAAAAATAGTGATGGGCCAAAACCAGTCATTGCATTTGTCACTGGTGGCGCCTGGATAATTGGGTGAGTAAAGTCTTCTACTTCGTAGACTATCTTTGAACATTCAGTGATACTTGTATTGTATGCTGGCCTCTGTTTAAGGGAATAATTTTTAAGATGGTTAAGAGGACACGGAAATTAAGAAAAAATGTACAAGTAAATGGCAGCTGGTGTTGAAAGGAAAACCAGCAGCAACTCTTTTTGTGAACTGATTGTTTCTTATCTCTTTCCATCGTTTGTCACTGACGCAGCTATAAAGCATGGGGGTCTCTTTTAGGACAACAGTTATCGGAAAGAGACATTATTGTTGCCTGCATTGATTACCGGTGATAGTTTCTCTTCAAGCATCGGCGCAGTGTACAAAATAGACAATGCCTTATAAATAAACAGTTGAAATTCAATTGCAGATGAAGCCCACCAACAATGCTGACATTGTAATTGAAATGCTTCTTGTAGAAATTTCCCACAGGCAACTATAGGTGATATGGTAGAAGATGCTTCTCAAGGTATCTCGTTTGTTGTCAATCATATTGCTGAATATGGAGGGGATCCTAATAGGTAAATAGGTTCAATTTTCTACAGATTTTCTATTTACATGTGTATTTCTATTGTGCTAAAAGTGGTTATCGCGGTTTTCTGATCTAGGATTTATCTAATGGGACAATCAGCTGGTGCACATATCGCCGCTTGTGCTCTCCTGGAACAGGCAATCAAGGAGGCTGGTGAAGGAGTTAGCATTTCTTGGAGTGTCTCCCAGATAAAGGCATACTTCGGTTTATCTGGAGGGTAAATGCTTGTTTTCAAAATGGCATTATTCAATATGGCTTTCATTTCATCTCTAATTGCATTCGTTCTTCTGCAAAATGCTATTTCTTATGGCACATATGATGGGGGGAAAAAATTCTTATACTTGTTTAATGGTGTCCCTTGCAAAATGCACAAACAGGTATAACCTGTTGCAGTTGACAGATTACTTTCATAGTCGAGGTCTCTACCGCTCACTCTTTCTAAGGTACCGCGACCTTCTACCTCTACTAGAGTGTGTTCATTGCAAGTTCTTAATAGTTTTCTTGTCACTTGATTTATTGCTGAAAAAACCTTTTTTTACAGAATAATGGAAGGTGAACAATCCCTACGAAGATTTTCTCCAGAAGTGATGGTACAGGACCCAAACATTAAGAATGCAGTTTCTTTGCTGCCTCCTATTGTTTTGTTTCATGGAACAGCTGACTATTCCATACCATCAGATTCCAGGTAACTGAGACGAATTACATATAAGTGTTTCTTATTAATGGCGGTCTTTTACTTTTTTTTTTTTTTTTTGCCCCTCTTGTTTAGACAAGTAGTGGCAATTTCAAGTGACAATACAACATGAGAATCATAAGTTTTGGAAGCATTGCAATATGGTTGTCCTCAAGATATTTTAACGTGTCAAGGGAATATACCCTTGTCCTTCTGATCTTATATCAGAAGACTGCATTTGTTCTTCTCTCATATTCGTGCTTTAGAATGGCTCAAGCCTCAAAAGTTATTGTGATAGTTCCACTGAAATTAAACTGTCTGAAGGATTCCAATTGACTTCAATTTTTCAATTAGCGGTGCTTGTTAGATTGGCATACAACTTCATTGGTTTCCCTGAGGCTGACATATTATTTTTTACAGCAAGAATTTTGCAGAAACTCTTCAGAGACTGGGAGTCAAAGCTGAAGCAGTTTTGTATGACGACAAGACTCATACAGATTTGTTTCTTCAGGTGAAATGATGTTAACATGCCTTCTTTCTTTTTGCTTTGTGAATGTTTATATACCCCATGTTTGGTTTAGCTATTTGAACCAAACAACTCAATTTGAATTGTGCCTAAAGGTTCAAATTAGTGTTTTTTTGAGAAATAAAGAGGGACCATTCAAACCATCAACTACGATTTGAATGGTTGATTTTGAAATTCATTAACACCACCCCCCCCCCCCACACCCCCCAACTTTCTTTGTTTA